AAGTAGAATAAATAGCTAAATAACGACTATGGGTAAGTGTCCTAAAGTGCATGGTCAAATCCAGTGCTTGAAAGCATTAACGCTGTGGAAAGTGTGTATATAGAGCTTATGATCTAACCAGCCACAGTCAGACAATGCACAGATCCAATCTGAGACAATACGGATCTCATCTGAGTCTAGACAATATTGGAAATATACTTTAACAAGTACACACTTCAAACACTTAACAACCGAGAGACTGATTCCAGAACAGAAATGGAACCCAAAAATCTCAGTGTCCCTGTGGTCCCGAACTGTGGGCCCAGATAGTGGACTTGGAAATCAAGGCTCTGTCAAAGAAGCACGATGAGTTATTAGCAATTCTCAGCAGCAAGAAAAAGGAGCTCCCCACCCAGCCAGAAGCTCAGACTGGCCGCAACGAGCCAGTCAGAAGATGAGATTCCTCCCCAAGACGCCGAGGACAGGAAGACGTCACTCCTGAGCTTCTTGAGGAAGCAGAGAGGGAGCTGGAGGAGGAGATCGAGTTTGAGTCCGAGCTGACCTCCAAACTGCAGGCTTAGGAGGAGGTCAATCGGGAGCTGGAGGGAAAGACGGAGAAGCTCAAACAGCGGATGAAGCTACGAATGTGCGAGCTGATTGCAACAGCCCTCTGTCTGAATGAGATCACCAAAGAGTCCGGCACTCCAGAGAAGGTGCAGAAAACACCCAAGAAGCCTTTTCTGTGGAGACGTTTCAAGAAATACATCACTCCAAAACACAGCCGAAAGCACAAGCAGCAGCAGGAAGAGAAACGCCACAATTGAAACACCAACACACAGGACTAACAAAAACAAACAAAGACAAAAACACACAGGCTATATTTAGTCCTGACAGACAGAAGTGAGCTGGCTTCTGTCTGTGTAGTTTGTAGTTCTGACTGTGTACATCGGTTTACCCTGGGTGCTCCGGTTTCCCCCACAAATAAAAACATATTCAAAAGTTAGATGCAAGAATTTCAATAAATGCTTGAAATATACAGACTTTCTGTATTGTCATATTCCTGTTAAGCACTGTTAAGTATTCTTCATACTGTCTTTCTGTTCATACAGTATTATAGTGGGGCTGTGTATTGGCAAGAATCTGGCGATATGATACGTATCATGATACTGTAGGCAAGGCCATATATTGCGATTTAATAAAAAAAAAATCGAATTTAAGAACACTGTCATAGTATAAGGAACACAGCACCATATGCATAAAATCTGAGTTAACAAAAAATGATTGTAATGTATTTCTCACTGTCCCTGTAACATCCAACATCACAGCCCTCAGCTTACATTTATAATTCTGCTATCAGCTGTTTAAACACAAAAATCTATAGTGTTTTGGAGACAAAAGAAGATATTTTGCGATACGATATTTTTCTATATATTCTTACACCCCTATATTATAGAGTGATACAATCAAATACTGTGTTTGCTGATTATGTGTCACTTGATTTAACAGAGGGGAAAAAAGTTCATGTTGCTTCACAAAAACAGATTGCAGGGTGTTATATGTTAATGTACCTAAATGTTTCACTATTTCTACTTCTGATAGATAATACATCGGAAATCAAATATTCTTGCACATTGTTACAAGCTTCATATGAAAGTATGGTATTTTTAAACACATTTGATTTGTGCAAAGACGGAAATGTTGCAAATGTGAACACGTCAAGTATTCACTTTGTTGGTATGGGGCTGCAGAACATTATGACCACCAGGGTGCCCAGGTGGTCACAATGTAATGGCTGATCAGTGTACATTACAGCAGAGATTAAATTAGCATTATCAGTGACCACACCATTCATATTTAACTGATATGCAGAATTTAGTTTTCTCTCCTCCAGCCATCTCTTCCTGGATCTTACTGAGTCTCCCTCTGCTTCATAAGCCCCCTAACTTACTTTGCATTAGAACTCCATATCTTCTTAAAAATGTGTTAAATAACTGTAATAAATGTAGATATGGTTCTAACTAAGCTCAATTTTCACAGCTTCGGGACCTGGTTAGCATGTGTATCAGCCCGGACCCAGACCTGCGGCCAGACATTGTCTTCGTGCTGCAGATTGCCAAACAGATGCACATGTGGACTTCTAGCACCTGAGCAACCATTTCTGCTCCAGGCCCCACCCCCCTCCCCTGCCCGCTTTCTCTGCTTAGTCTGAGGATCTCAAACCACTAGAAGTAAGCTCTGCCTGGTCTTGCAGAAAAGTGTTTGCCTCGCCCTCATCGCGTCAGGAGGTAGACTTGCACAGGGGGACTGTGATGTTTCGACATCCAAGTGCCCACTTGTTTTCTGTTGCAGAGGGTGTGAAGAGGTGCATCAGTGGTGCAGTACTCGTAGAAAGTGGAGTTAATGAAGGGGCGACTGCATTTATGGTCTTTTCTTTAGCTACAGATGGAGAGCTGTGTCTCATCATGATCGCAGATTTCTCAAAGCTTTCTTTAACTCCACAGGGGTTGCATTCCAAGTTCATACCCTTTGTGACAGGTAAATTGTGTGCAAAAGAGCTGGGCAATCTGAATCTATCATCTATTATTGTAATGATATACATTTTTTCAAAATCAATTTTAAGTACGTCATTTAGGGGTCATCGACATATAAAGAGGGACATCATGTTTCCACTTTCACTGTACAAAAATTAAGCCAAAATATCCCAGATATGGCTGCTGCCATCTTGCACTAGTGATGTCATTTGGGCTGTGTGCAGAAGTCTAAAAACAGCTAACATGGAAGGGGGTGCGGTTTATGACCTTTACTGTAGTATAGTGGGCGATTGAGATGTGTTGCCTTCACTTTTGTGAAGCTGTCATGTCGTCCATCTTTATATACAGTTTACTTTAAATGGACAATTAGTAAATACATAAATACAGTTACTAAGTCAGATTTCCAGGACCCCAAGAATGGTTTTTGAAAGAACTGCTAGCTTGCAGTGAGACGAATTAACCTTCTAAGTCCTGCCCCTTTTGGAACCTCGGTCAACTTCCTCCTTTCTTGTACTTAGATATGCTATGTGCTAGGCTATCTATGTTGAAAAGACAACCACATTTTGAAGATGGTTAAAAGATAAAAGGGACGTACATATATGGTGTGTCTCAAATCGAATACTTCCGTTAGTAAACCTCTATGTAGTACACAATGCAGACTATGTAGTTACTTGCGTAGTGCGGTAATGTGAGCTTGGTGTTGTCTCAAATCGAGCACCGCCATTGCGCACTTACTGGAAATGACGATTGCAACATTTACCGTGTTACACCAATTTACAACCAGACTATACAGTCACAGATATAACAGATATATATATATATATATATATATATTATACAGAGTATAAGCGCTAATACTGCTTTATTTTTCACTGGATTTCTTCACGATATTAATTAAAAATGACCCTGCTTCTACTTTTTATCACTTGTGTGTGTCTCAGTATGGAAGTATTCAAATTGAGACACATAAGTTATACTTAAGCTAACTAATGTTGACGTAAATGCTAGCTAACTAGCTAGATAATCTACATTAATCATTAGCTAGCTCGATAACTGTGTTTTGCGAACACTAGCTATCAGATCAGTAACTAGCTAGCTAATGATTCATGTAAGTAAGCTAGCTAGTTAGCTAGTTGTGACTATTATCTTTGAACCATCTTCAAAATGTGGTTGTGTTTTCAACATAGATTAGCCTAGTACATAGCATATCTAAGTACAGGAAAGGAGGAAGTTGACTGGGGTTTTGACCGAGGCTTGCTCAATTGTTAATGGATCACAGAGCAAAAAGGGGCGGGACATAGGAAGGGTTGGTTATGATGCAGATCAGCTATACAACTGATATGTATTTACTTCTTCTGTGTGGAAGCCAGAGTGACTGTGGTGATATTTAACTTTTTTTAACAGGTCCAGTATCTCAAGATAATCATTTAAACTCCTAAAATGTGTAAAAAGCGCTTGGAAGACTAGTGGTCGAAAGACTAGAATGGCACTATACAAGTACAGTCCATTTACCATTTACCATTCACTAAACACTTTAGCTTACATTTTGTAAAAAAAATTCTGCTGCATCACAGATACACCCATTATCCTGATAATGGAAATTCAAACCTATTTGTGGGTTTTTTCAGCCCATCCCTAGCATTTCTGAGTTTATGATAAAAGAACTATGTTTACACTGATTTTACTACTGATCATGGTTCAAAGATCAAAGATTCTATTGAGTTGCATTATGGGAAATGTAGGATGCAGTGCTTCTGGAGCTTGGCCCATACTGAAGGCTGACCATACATTTTTTAAATAATCCCTCAACATTACAGAACAGTGAAGATTAGATCAGTATTTGTCAAACATTTTACAGCAGGTACCACCTCAGTAAATATTAACCTCTCCAAGTACCACTGCTGTTCAGCTAGACAGTTCATGCAGGAGACAGGTATATTTCTAACGAGAACATTATTTATAGTTGTAAATGGTAAATGGACCTGTACTTGTATAGCACCTTTCTAGTCTTCTGCCCACTCAAAGCTCTTTTACACTACGTGCCCACATTCACCCTTTCACCACATTCAGTCAGTGATGGCAAAGTCCATGGAACAGAAACTAACTCATTCATACACATTCACACACCGATACATGGCATCGGGAGCAATTTGGGTTCAGTATCTTGCTCAAGGATATTTACCTGCTCTGCCTCTGAGCCACAGCCCTTATTGTAGTAGTTTGTAGTATTTTGTTCCCCCAGGACCCAAATCTGATTGACCACCCCAACTGCCACCCCATTATCCTTACTTTTTCCACTCTGCATTGTCTGTCTATAGCAGGCTTTGTTTTAAAGCTAGAGTGACGATACTGGCTCATATGAAACTAGATGCCCTAACACATATGCCAGTACCAACCATGCATGTCGGGAAGGAGGCTAGATAATGCTCCAAAGTTAGGCTAAATTTTGGCGATGGAAAAACTGGCATAGCCTTTTTCAAAGGGATATCTTGACCTCTGACCTCAAGATATCTGAATAAAAATGGGTTCTATGGGTACCCACAAGTCTCCCCTTTGCAAACACGCCCACTTTATGCTAATCCCATGCAGTTTTTTGCATGTGGTATAAATGTGTTATTTTTGTTTTGTTAGTATCTGAGTATATGCATACTGGGGTCCATAAACAGTGTTGGAACTTTATAAACTGAGACACACACTTGATGCCACCCCTGCATAAGTCAGTGCCCCACTTGTGCTACCCCAGTCAAAAAAGTCTGGAAACGTCCCTGGAGTACACCTATCACAGTTTGAGCACCAGTGGTTTAGATACTGGGCCCACCACAGACCCTGTTGGCTTCCAGACATATGGACTTTTGAGGACTGGACTTTTATATTTCTTATTGCCTAGTCTCAGTGTGAGGAGGTAATACTCGCAAACTGTGCCGACCTCTGACTTTATTCTTTTAGCTCTTTAGTTAACTCAGTATATTTTGAATGTCATGTTGCCTAAATACTTATGTTGATGCATATCATTTCAGTGTTGATAGTGGAATAAAGAAGGAAAGAGTTTGAGTACAGGACAACCTTGTAATTAAATTGATTTAGAACTTTCTCATTGTCCCTGGGGAACCGAAGAAACTATTGAGTGCTGCAATGTCCTTCACTCAATCTGTTATTACTAGTCTAAGACACACACACAGAGTTGTACTAGAATAATGGTGGTGGGTGTTCAAAGATGTTTTATGTGATGTATAAATAGCAGAACGCAGTTCATGATCTGGGTCAAAGTGTTGATATGTCTGTGTGAATATAGACCACTGTTACTGTGAAACTGTGCGTACTGGAGAAATGAGATGCTGTGAAAGTCATTTGTTTAACGTGTCCTTCTGTGAGGAGAATGCACAGTGCCTTACCACGCAGAATAACTCAACATTATTCTCATTTGTTACTTGTATTCTGTGCTAATGAAATAAAGGTATCACACACACACAGGAAGGGGAAAGTTTAGAGCTTTTATCGTGTTTAGATGACTTATATCTTCCATCTACTACTGTACTTATTGAATTGTGTCATTATGTTTAACTGTATTTTCCTGTGCTTCAGTACAATAAATCCAGCTTTCCGTGTCGATCGCTTCCTCATTGATTTAAAATTAAAGGTGAAAACGTTGGATGTGCCTAAGCTCTTATTACAATAACAGATTCAAATGATAAAGCAACACACATTTCCTACATACACATTGTGCTGTTCTGATGTGGCCCAAACAGCACAAAAGGAAGAGACGCAGTGACGAGAAGCTGAGACACTCTCTGGAGTCTCCACACCAGCTATCCACAGGGCTTTTATTTTGAAGTTGACCCCATTTCCTCTCAGTAAAAGGCCTCTTAAAATTTAAGGTGGAATATAGTTTCAGCATCTGTCCTGTGGACATGCTGCACCCCCTAGAGGACGCGTGAGACATTGTATTGATGGCTCTGTATACAGGTGTTCCTGTAATAACATTACTGGAAAAACCCAAAGAGTAGAGACAGTTGAGTCTTCTACAATGTGCGCTCACTGTATGACAACATATAGGCGTTCAGGAAAAGTTAAGGCTCTCGTTTTTTACCTATTAAAACAATGTACACATTTTAAATACGTAAGAAATGAGAAAACATTCTTTTTTTGTGCAGTGGCTGAAAGAATATATTTATTTGAACACAAGCTGTGTTTGAAATATTTGCTTTTGTTGCAGGTTTTTTAATGCTATGAAAGCAATTTGCAAAAAAAAAAAATGAGGCATTTTATCCAGCGACAGTGAAAAATAACTTCAGAATGGAAGTGTTTGCGCAAATGAACAAAAGTGCAATATGAGGCCTCGAAACTCCAACTTTATCAAATCACATTTACTTTAGAGTATGGACAGTGCAAATGAATAAATACACACGGTAAAAACAATGCCAGAAACAGCCTAAAGCCTAGTTTTCATCTGTAGTCCCTGGCCAGTGTGAAAAAGGCTTACTATCTTTTTCGTAACTTGAATGAAGTCAAGAATCAAACACGAATCAACTCAAACACTTTTATTGTAAATCATGGAAAAAACATGCCATTTGTGTTAGGAATTCTGAGGGGTAGTGAGTTACATCGAGAAACACACGGTACGAGTGTTTTAGGAGGTATCCATGGTCTGTACAGTTTCCTCCACAACCTCCAGGGCCAGCGGGGTCACCGCCTTCGTCAACACGCCGGTGGTTCCTCTTTTGTACTTGTAGTCGCCGGTTCTACATCGGGAGAGAACGGGACACATGGGATAATGAGTTTGAATGGAAGCGAGGGCTGAATAGGCACATTAGACAAGTCTGTGCTGGGGCTTGTTTAATGCACTTCCACACGTGTTCAGCACTGCAGCACGCCACTGTAGACAGCTGTCCTACACACTGCCATGCATGTTAGTTGTGTGAAGTCACACTGAGCAACCCATGCAGATTTCTTTTTAAAGTTGGTTAGTAGCAAACTGAGAAGAGTGTGAGTCGGCGGGTGCGCACACAACGTCAATCTGTACTCACAGCTGCAAGGCTTCACCCTCATTTACTCTTCAAGCAGAACAAGCAACAAGACAACCAGTCATCTACCAGTTCTTCAGGGAAGTCAATCATTATAGATCATGCTCTGGAATGAGGCACTCTTTCATCTTTCCTAATGTAACAGAAACTTTCCCCAATGGGCAGCTTGGAAATATTTGCTAGGAGGGACAAGCATTTTAACAAGTTTGATTGTTTGCTGAAGAGTTGCTGGTTCATTTCTGACCTACATACATTACTAACTCAATATGTGAGCTGTTCCACAAAGCACTATTACCAAACTGACTCTAAGCAAGGTTCCCACTCGTTTTAATCAAATCCTTTTCCAGGATGTTTTTCTGGACGATAGACAACAGCACTTGCTTTGAAATGGTCATTTAAGCTGCAGTTTGAGGCACACTGACTACATTCATTTGGTTACAGAACATAAGAAACAGCTCAAATCAAGGAGAATTCTAGAAAGTTAAAGCCTTGCATGTACAGTTAACATCACCGTGCATGTATTTATCAACCACAGCAACAAGTTTATTGATTGATTATTATTAGGCTGTGTGCATGGAGATGTGAGAATTTAACTGGCAGCTCTGGAAAGAACGGACTCGCCAAAAAGATCATTGCAAGTCAGTACATTTTGAGACCTGCTTGGAAATGTCAGTTTCTCCTACCATCAGTTGAGTTTCAAACAGAATACACACCTATTTATGCAGCTGTATTTCTGCCACAGGAAATGTTGGTGTAGGGGTTTAGTGCGGCGCTGAACAGACAAAAAGGAACCAATAGTCCAATCTTCTTACTAAACAAACAAATCCGATTTGACTGACAAAATTCGGAGTCGGATACAGCCCTGGATTTTAGCCCTGATTTTCCACTCGCTGACAGCGCTTGCTCCTCTGAGGATGTGAGTTCACTATCTGAACTGTTCGAAGACGTGATCAGACAGCTGATAAAGTCACACTGTGGACGTGTGATGGCCTTGACCTCGTGATTCTAGAGTTACGTGTGGTTACGGACACGTTAGGAATTGTGTGATATTTCTTAAAGGGAGTTTGGTGCAGGGAGCTTTTAGTTGAATTCAAACTGATAATATTTTTTTGTTTATTAGTTGTAATTAGCCAACGGTACTCAGTTTCTAACTTGAGGATGCTGTAAATGGTTGCCCTTTGTGTGCATTTTTAAACTACTTAACTAATTAAACATGATTTACTTGTTATTAATGAGAAGAACTCTATAGCTTTTAGTAAAGCAGCTTTCTGGAACAGACCCGAGGTGTGTTGAAATCAGTGATTTGAAGAACTCCAGATGAGTCATTAAGGCAAGTACACATTATCCCAACAGGAGAGATGAGGTTGTTTTAACATGTTAACTACAAAGGAAGATCATGTGGATGAAATTAATCTACATATCTATCTACATATATTAGCGGGGCCGTTCTCACCTGACGCCCTTCTTGTTGGCCTCATCATGGGGCCGGATGTAGTCCACCTTGCCCTTGGTGATGACACACAGGTCGATGTTGCTGCCGGAGCCCAGGTCATTAAAGATGCCCGCGGCGATGGCGTCTCGCACCAGCCGCTTGGCATCCGCCTCCTTCGGAGGAACAAACAGCGTTGATGCTCAGATGAAAAGCAGCATGCTAGCACAGGAAGTCACACTCACTTGTTGGGACTGTGTTGCTATGAGTTACATGTGAGTGACGTACTCACCTCCATGTCGGGCTTGTAGCGGTCCTCAAACACAGCCATGGCAGCCAGGGACCCGGAGCCTTTAGAGGGAGAATTAATGCTGTTTAAGTGGGTCGCTGAGCTGACAGTACCCAGAATGCAACTACAACGGCTGTTTTTTAAAGCTGCATTATCACCGCATGGTACTCGGTTGAAGCTCTGAGTTAGCTGATCTGATATAAAAGGTGACAAGAAAACACTGCGGACCACTGATTGTTCATGCGACACAGACTACAGTTTCATACAGCCTTCTTCTAACCCAGGTTTACACCGGTGATCTGAGTGACGGCCTAAAATACAATAAGAATTTTCCACATTTTTAGATTATTTCCAAGATATTTTGTCATTTTAATCCATTTCCAGGTGTTTCTATGACTGGAAAACTAGTCTCAAATGTCTTCGAGGCAGACATCTCAAAAACCCCCTCATATCTCCAAAAATGTAAACAATAATGTGTCCTAATGAAAGCAACTAAAATAAAATAAAAATCAGACAGAAAGTAATGTAAGAAATATGTTTGAGAGTGGGATGTCCATCGAGACGTGGAGCTGGAGGTGAAATGCGAGGAATGTGTAGAAATGGCAGTGAGCTGTGTGCGACACTGACCCATGGTGACGTAGGGCAGCTTGTCGGTGGAGCCGTGAGGGTAGATGCTGTAAAGGTGAGGACCGTTACAGTCCACTCCACCCAGGACCAGAGCAGCCCCGATGTAGCCCTGATACCTGAACACGAACACACACACACACTTTTTCATACCAAGTCTAACACATTTTATTCTTATTTCATATGACCATTTCTCCATATTGAATGACAATAGTCATTTTTGCATTAGTGTGAGTGAGTGTCAGGCAAAAAGGTTCTGTATCATGATGAACACTGATGTAGTCTGAGGAAGGTACCTGAAGAGCATCTGTTTGAGCATGCGGTTGGCGGTGGCCACGCGTGGCAGCCTGCCCGTGGAGAGGGCGTGCAGCTCCAGGTTGGACGAGATGATCTGAGTGGTCATCTCTGTGTCTGCAGCTGTTCCCGCTCCACAGCAGCTGCACAAAAACAGTCAAACAGCTAGAATCACATGACGGCTGAGAAGAAGGAAGCTCTACGGAGGAGCAAATGTGGCTAAATTGCGGGTTAAATAAATCAGGGTCACTGGTCAGGTGGGCCAGGTTTACATCACTTTTAGGTGTACCGGCTGAGACTTGTGACCCCCACTGTCCACTATTCGCTGCCCTCACCCAACCTTGCTGCTATTTGGTGCTTTCTACATAATGTCTCTCTAGATTTTTGCTGTAAAAAAATATCTGCGTTACATGTTATTAAAGATGCAGAGTTAAGCCACAAAATAGAAAACATGAAGAGAAAGGTCAAAGTAAAAAAGGATC